GATATTTTAATAATAATTTCACCATTTTTACTTTTCCTAATTCATCTTTTATTGCTGAAAAAGATATCAACAAAGTCAGTCTCATTCCTTCCCATTTAAAAGACAGAGAAATGTAAAAGTCAGATGACAGATCCAGTATGAGAAACAGGAGTCAAACTCTGCTTTCTGAATGCCACTCCAAAACTTTTGTCTTAGTTCCATTCAATACCAGGAGAAAAATCTAAGTAGTTTATTGCCTACATATGCATGTGCTTCCCACAAGCTCATAAAACCAAAACAGACATTTCCAAAAGGACGACCTTAAAGCGTCTTCTAAGTTTGTGTCAAAACCCCTTGACTCCTCATCTCACTCTCCCATTTCTTCCCCTCAGTTTCTATTAAAACCTACAAAATACTTTGTCATTAGAGACCAGGGCTGGAATCTGGAAACCTTTTACCTAAGGAGTGAACACCCTCAAACCAAGGGGAGCAGAAGATCAGTGTCCTAAACAACATTCCATAGCCTGCTGTGGAGGGGGAGGCAAAAATCCTCAGGCTGGTGCTGACAGAATTCCACTCACACTGGGCAATAGAATGCATGACACTGAGACACTGCACAGGAAAGTTCTGGATGTGGTCCAATGATTGCTCATATACTCCTTGGATGAAACTTCATACTGTGGGCACGGATCCTACAGCAGAGCTATGAATACCTTCATTCTGGAGAGATTATATTCTGTTTGATGCCAAACACAATAAAATCTCCATGTTTATATTTTCTCTTTTACAATATTATTTATATAGTTGAAATCACAGGAAAATCGTTATTATCAAAAGGAGAAAATTTTGGGGGAAAAGTATAAAAAATCTGTTAGTTTGGCTTCTAGTTGCAGATTTTTAGATAAAATATGTCTGGTGCTACTTGGCTACTGTTTTTTTACTCAGAACAACTTGGAGCTCATTGTGGAAGTGATAACTGAAGGAAAATAGATTGTAATTGAACAAGGAAATTAACAAGTGGATCTAATTGCAGTGGTGCTATGCTAGATGAGCCCTTACCAGGTGAAGCTCAAAGAGAGCATGTGAGCTCTTCACAGCTGTGGGAAAACTTTGTTCTTGGCTGACATGGCAGGGAATCATGTTTTGAAGCTAGAAATGAGGGCCAGGAGTTCCCAGCCTGGAACATATGACTGTGGGCTCTAAAGAAGAGTCTGATTTGGCCTTTGAAAAGGAGGGTACCTTAATACTTCTTATTTTGAGGCAAGATGATAAACCCTTTAACATAGTCCCAGTTCCTCTGTCTATCACAGATTGCTATGTGTGACAGCAATCTATCACAGATCCCTCCCCAATGAGTTTCTTGGATATTTCCCTTCTCAAATGGGAAATCGAGTGGCTGAATTTGTTCTGAGTTCATAACCACTTTAAATGCTTTGACCAAAAGGCCACACAACAAAGCAGCAGGAGCCTGAAGTGGGTGACAGTTGGGCTTTTAGAAAAGAAGGGAGGGGACTAGCACCATGAAGAGAAGCACCAGTCTGAAAATGGGAAGAGACTAACAGAAATCTTGCTTTTCGTTTTTGGAAGTATTTTTATTATTGTAATGTACACACTAACTGAAATAAAAATGAGCATACACTGGCTTTTTTATGTATCAGGAGGAGTTGGAGGTATATAACTTTACAAAATAGGGACTATATAATTATATTGGACAGAGAACATGGGTATACAGGCGGATATATGGTGTTCTGTCTGCATTTGTACTGTTTATTACTATGAGAGCTGCTAATTCTTTTATGTGTTGTAGCTATCTGGGAAAACTTAAATTGGGTCTCAATATTCATATTAATATACCTAATTTTGCACAAGCTGGCCTGAATATTTGAGAGTGCATGCCATGGAAACTACATGCTGACAAGCAGGGCTTTGCAATTTTGCAGCAGTTTGCATGTTCACTGCATCCTGAGCTATTTTCCTTCTGAAGGATGACAGCTGATGAACATTCTGTCCTGTCATCCCTCCATGGGGCAGGTGAGCTCCTGCCCCTCTGCTTCACATACAGCTTTTGCAGGTTTCCTGTTGCAGCAGTGATCCCATGGGTAGGCTATTCCTGTTTGAGGAAGATGATTCTCTAGCTAAAGGTGTGCAAATTTCTGTGCAGTACTATATTTTTTTTTTTTTAACTGAAAGCTGCTTTATCACCAAGAAACAATATTCCCTTACTTTGTGTCTTTAAGCATGTTTATTTTGCAGCTCAGATGTATGGAGCCAGCCTTCAACAACCTGGAGAGTAAGGAAGGTGTAAAGTATCAACCAGGTGGCAAGTTCTGGTTCATGGTTACGTGTTTAAAGGCTTTGACTTCACATTGTAGGAGCAGCTTGGAAAGCTGAGGGTAGTATTGTATATATCCATACTCTTATCTTTTTGTTTATATGGGAGATATGCAAGTGCTATTTGCACAGAGCAGTATTTTCACATCCTGATCATTTCCAAGAGATGCATGTGAACTAATGCTGATGAGTAGTTCTCCACTGTCTCCTAATCTGAAAGGGGGCAAGGGGATGTAGTTTACGGGGTAAGTGTCAAAGCACTCGTGCATGTTCAGTGCACAGGGGCACAGACTGGTGCCAGTGCTGTGTTCTGCTGGGTCTCCTCAGGGCTGGGGCTGTGCCTGGTGGCAGCACTGCAGGTGGGTAAATGCTGGGGGGCTCAGGGGGATTTAAACTTTCCCTGTTGTTGCTTAGCAGAAGTTTTTGTGACATGACAGGAGAGAATGTCCTTTTTAGAGGCCAAGTTTTTTACTTAATTTGAAAGACAGTTTAAAAAGTGGTGATCATTAGCCTTGATTGTGAGGGGCAGAGTGGGGCTGGTCCCTTTTTGTTGAGTTCTGCTTTGTTTTGAAGCCAATGGTGTGGTATGTTTCTGTGTTTAATCCAAGGAAATTGAGCTGCTAAATGATTTTTTCTGACATGCTGAGGACCAAATGTTCTGGCAAGGGCTTGTGCCAGCAATGTGAGAGGTGAGGAGGTTCCAGAAGCTGTTTTTTTGCTCACAGGGTGCCAAAACAGATGCATTTCTTTGATACAAGTAGTGTTGGGTACATGAGATCTATATGGTGTAGACAAATCAGACATAGTGGTGATGCCAAAAGCACTTGTGGCATAGCTGTGAATGCCCTTCTGATAAGTATTTTGATTTTCAAATGTGGATGAATATTATCCTTACATGGAAGGGTCACAGGGACAGTCCTTGAGGCTGATGCCCTCAGTTTACCTGCAGGACAGATGCACACGTGCAATTGCAAGTGACACAGACTTTCCTTAACTCACAACATTAGTAGGCTCCTGTATTTGTGGGTTCCCAGATGAAGGAAGGAATGATGCATCTGACTCTATGTTCTTAGAAGGCTAATTTATTATTTTAAGACACTATATTATATTAAAGAATATTAAACTAAACTATATTAAAAAATGCAGAAAGGATGCAGACAGAAGGTTAAAAGACACTAATGAAAAACTCGTGACTCTCTCCAGAGCCTCGACACAGCTTGATCATAATTGGCCAATAAGTCAAAACAACTCACAGTAGCTAATAAAACAACTACCTGTTGGATAAATAACCTCCAACCATATTAAAAGCAGCAAAACACAGAGAAGCAAATGAGATAATATTGTTTTCCTTTTTCTCTGAGGCTTCTCATCTTCCCAGGAGAAAAATCCTGGCGAAAGGATTTTCCCAAAAAATATGACAGTAACAGTAGGCTCCATCCAGATCTGGAATTGTATGTGATATTCAATATTCAAGTCCATTTATCTTGGGGCTAAGTGTGCTGACTGCAAATCAGCAAGCAGGGGCCACTGTACTGGAGCTATCAGGTATACAGATAATTGTTCTTCTGGACCAGCACTGAGACCAGCTATTTTCACACAACACTGGCTGCCAAACAGCAATCTAGTGGTGAAAAGCTCCTGATATCTCTGCTATTATTAGAATCAGCCCACAAAATTACAAAGGTGGTAGATGAGCTGAACGCAGAATCCTGCTCTTTGGGACAGTCAGTGAAACTAACAGGGGATCAATTTGAAACAGATAAAAGAAAGTACTTCTTTAGCAGTCAGAAGTGAGCTTCAGGAACTTGCTGCCATGCAGTGCTGGAGAAGCTGACAGTATCAGCAGGTTTAGAAGGGATTAGACAGATTCAGGGACAACAGGCCCATTAAAAAGATAAAGCAGGGACATACCCTCTGTGGTATCTACCCACCAGATACTCAGCTGATGCCAGGGGAGCACAAGGGGAAGGGGCTGCAGAAATAAGCCAGGCTTGCACACACTTACTAAAAAACTTCTCTATACCTGCAAATGTGTGATAAATTACTGGTCCAAGCCATTTTGATGTACTTAATCTAGAAATGAGTTTTATCCCCAAAGCATTTAATGAGTATTCAGTTACTACAGCATCCTAGATTCCCATGAGCTGACTTGTGAGCTCAAAGCAGCACACTCAAGCAAGAGCAGGGATTCTTCTTCATTCCAGGTTCTGATCCTTAGCCCACCACTTCCCTGCTGTATGGGCAGTCCCATTGCACAGGTCCCCCTTACTGTGCACTGTGCTGACACATATGCCATATTACAGACATTCATATTACATTGCACAATCCTAAAGGAATCAAGGGAAGAAGTCTTGCATGGGGTACAGAAAAAGATGGACACAGGGAAAATTAAATGTTAATGAAATACTGTACAAGGGAGTAACACAATAACATCCCATCTACGGCTCTAAAAGCTAAGGATAATTCATGCAGAGGGAAGAAATCACATCAAAATTGAGCTTTCTCAGATTTTTGGAGGCTGAAATGCAAAACTTCCTCTGCCCCTTGCATTTATTCTTTCCCAGCAATGTAGGAAGTAAGCCAGCATTCCAACTTTTAAGCATAACATAAAATGAAATTGAAACTGATTATTGTTTTTCAGCAATTGCCCTTAAGGCCACCCAACAAAAGTGTTTCTAAAGCAGTCCTACCTTTGTTTTCCAACTTGAGCTCCTCTGCTAGCAAGCTGTCTTGTCTGTTTCCAAGCACAAATGCCAGAAATGAGAGGATCAGGGCATCCAAGATTCCGATAATTGCCAGGATATATGCCCAGCGGACTGAACAAGCCCCCAGCGTGTACTTGTCTGTCTTTTCACCACACATCCGTTTTACCTCATCTGAATCCCAGCCATCAGGAAAAATCATACAACCCAGGACGAGACAGGCAGCTTGGAGAAAAGAGAAAAGGAGAACAATGGGATAATGAGACCAAGCTTTCATTTTGATGAGAACATACAAAGTTATCATTAAAGCATTAGACTTTTTCATCCTGAACTCCAAAGCTAGGCTACTAAAAAAAAAACCAAGTCACAGAATTACATGCTGTGATTAAGTATTTAATATAAAAACCTAAGATGCAACATCAATTGCACACCTCGCTTAAAAAGCTGTTACATCCTGAATCCCTGGTCAGGTTTTGCATCAGTACAATCACATTTTTCTTGTGGGACCAATTTCTTCAATGCAATATGAAAGGACCACACAAAACCAAAAGGGAAAATGGTTAATAACCTGGATATTCAAAGGTAACACTGGGTTACTGTCAAGTTGTCAGGCAAACAACCAGTTTAAAAGATAGGAAAAAAACTACCTATCATTTCTGTTAATCTGCCCTTTTATCCTAACCATAAGCACTGGACTTTCCCATTATCTACCCAAAGACAGAGCTTGATAGATTCCAAGTGTTGTCTCACAGAGGGCAACTCCACCCCAGCACCTGCCTGATCTGTCCTGAGCACTGTGCAGCCCTTCTTGATGACATTCCAGTCATGGAAGCTATCCCACCACATCTTTAGTTGCAATGAGAGCAAAGCCCTGGGACTGCACACAGATCTCTAGTTCCTCCTGCTTGTCCTCCACACTGCAAGCATTGGTGTACAGGCACTGTATGGAAATATTTGATCGTGTCAGTCTCCCAGCAGGGGTGGAAAGGGATCCCCCACAGTCCTGTCTGTGGTTATGTCTTTGGCTGCTTCTGATTTGAGATGTTCTCTCTTAAGTCTTCTTTTGTTACTAGGTGGTTTCTATAGTTCTCTCCTTCCTATGTCTAATGTCTATCAAGCCTGACTGTGTCCTCATTCCCCTTCAAATCCACTTTACAGCTCTCTCAATGAGCTCTTCTACCTCCTGACATAAAATTCTTTGGGACAGGTGGACCTTATTTGTTTCCAGCAGGCTTGGTGTTGTATAAACTGACCTATGACCAAAAATCTCCAAATTTTTCTGGTAGTGCCTGTCTTGAAGCCAGGTAGAGTCACCTTCAGCAGGAGAGGATAGCATACAAAAATAAAGTAGCATAAGAAAATTCTAAAAATAATGATTATGTTGAATGGGTTCATTCTTCAGTTTTTATTGTATTTAAGAGAATCAGAAAGTCCATATGCTTTCAGTTACCTCATCAATTACCTTTAGTGACTTGGAAATACCTTTCAATTACCTGTAGTGACTTGGAAACAGTCACATTTCCATCGTTACCCCTTCTATTTAGTTGATGAGATGCAGGGGATACTAAACCTTCTTTTATAGGTCTTAATATTATATGGATGAAATATGCTCAAAATTGCAGGTAAACGTGCTAATTGGAAAGAATGCATTGTGTGGCTTTCAGCGTTTTAAGTTTTTGTTGAGTCAGACCTCTGTTTGGAAATGACAGTTTATACACCAAGTATCTTGTGCAACCAGCAGCTGCTGTCACTGTGGGATTGGTTTCCTGTCGTTGTCACAGGTTTTTTGCCTTTTCTGAACAAGCATAGGCACTATCATTTTACAGACCTCTAATGCCCACAAAATAGAAACAGACTTACACTGGATCAATATGATGAAATACTGGAAGAGGGATGTGTAAAGAGAGTTCAGGAATGGTAGTTTCCTTATGACAGCTAGAAAATTGCTGTAGACAATGTCTTGAAAACATGTCTGCAGAAAATATCTGACATGGGGTAAGAGATGCACCAATCTCTTGGTGCAATCCCAAGGTGTTTGATGAGTTTCTCCTGAACAGCTAATTTGTGTGAAAATAAAACAATTTATAATACTTTCAAGGACACTTAGGCTTAGAAACATGGGAGATTAGATAATGACTAATTGACTTGGAACATGAACGTTGGACAAATTATAAATTACATATTGTCTGCCTTAACTCATTTACACAATTACATAAGAACTTTCAAAGGCCTTAGAGACAAACAGTACAATAATTTATTTTCTTGAGCTGGTTACACACACTTCCAGAAAGTGGAGTTGCCCTCACACTTAAGAGTTTCCCTCGTACTTGCAAAGAACTCCACTCAAACGATCCAGCAAATCTGCAAACTTCTTGTGTTCATGAAAATGTCCATATTTACCCAGCTAACTGTTGGCAAAGTTTCATTTACTATGTAACAGCAAATACCAAAGCCAGTTTACTTTTATTAATCATCAACATGAGAAAGCTTAATGCTCAGTTAATGATCAATAGAAGTGGAATTTTCTGCTAATTGTGCATGAATAATTAGCAAATACCAACATCTCTGTCGATTTTTTATTACACAGCACATCAGACACATTCTTAGTACTTCCTAAAAGTAATTTAACTTTGTTCTTTTGCACATAGGTAATTAAAAAAATGGACTCTTATCTCAGGAATTCAGTGTACAGTTTCCCAGCTGTGTTCCTCAGATTTCCATTTAACTCATCTTTCCTGAATTCTGTTCCTGCATTCTTTGATATACTTGCTTAGATTTCTGGCATAATTCTGTTTGTTGCAGTTGGACTTCTCTTGGTAATGTCACATGGGTAAATGGTGTCTGGACTGTAAATGGTGTCTGGACTAGATTCCTTTTCATAAAGACAGATATCAAGGAGGGGTTATTATTATTATTTTCTCTTTTCCCTATACAGTTAAGATGCTTTCTACTAGATGACTACTTAGTTAACATCTTCAGGTTCAGGAATCATACCTTACCTGTAGAGGGTAACATAAGTAAGATTAGTCAACCTTGAGTCATTTTTTGTTGAGGGAATATTTTGAACTGGATTCCTTTAAGAACACAGACTTGCTCAATAATATAAACATGTAATGATTCTTTTATCAGCTACAAGATTGAAAAGGCAGATATGAAATCCACCTACAGATCTACTTTGCATTGCTAGAAATTTTTACATTTGAATTCTGCTACAGAGGATTAGAAGACTTCTCTCTAAAAGGAAATTACTTTCAGTTTTACACAAATTTGTGAAATGGAAATAATTTTATGAAATTTCAGTGAAACTGCTAAGAGATGATTTTATAACACTAACATTGCTCCCATATCTTTGTATAACTTCCACTGTCTGTAATGGCAATGTTACCAAAATGGAAATGTAACAAAAAAAAAGCTATTACTGTTCTACTACTAAGTAGTAATGGTGTTCTAGTGAATTCAGAAAGTTTTGGATTTGAAAAGTTCACTGACTAAATAAAAACCCTTAAATCATCAGTTCCTACAGACTCTTGGATTCAAGCAAAGAAAAAGTTAAATCTATACTGGTTGAAAGCAGCCTTCTATGAAGCCCTCTGGTGTCCCTTCAGATCTGGGAACATCAGATCAGCACCACCCTCCTGACAGACAGCCCAGCCTAGGACCTCTGCAGCTAGCCAAGGCCCTTCATGAGAAGCAGCAGGGAGAATTGATAAATGACTGATTAGTTGTGGAGAGTGTCACTGACACCATGCAGAACCGCTTGGGCAACTGTAAAACTTGCAATAGTCATACCCACATGGTTTTCCCTTTGGCTGCTTGAGAAAGCTCCCAGCAGGATTATTATCTTTGTAAAGGTGGCCCTGGGTTTCCTCCATTTCTTCCTCTCCTGTGATGACAAGGTGACTGGCTTGTGTTGGAAGAGACTTTAAAGACCATCGAGTTCACCCACCATGTTGCTCAGAGCCCATCCAATCCAGCCTTAAACATTTCCAGGGATGGTATCTCTAACTTCTCTGGGCAACCTCTTCCAGTGCCTCACCACCCAAACAGTTGCTTTCTCCCACATATTGGAGTCTGGTAGGGCTTTTAAAACTTTTAAAAAGTGATTAATAAAAGCACTTAAACAAACCTTATATATTTGCTTTTCTTCTTAAACAGTTTTTTCTTGTGTGAACAGCTAGCAGGAACTGTCACATGGTTTTCCTCTAGGGCTGTGAGTGACAAGACAAATTATTCATACTAGGAGAGAGAGCCAGGATTTTTACCTCGTGGGATGAAAGGATGCAGATACAACACTTCCAGAGATTGGAAACAGACAGTGAATTGTTGCTGGCACTGACAGACTTGTGACTCTGACCAAGCTAATATTATCACAGACTGTGCTCTGTGCATGAGCTCAAATGGTAATTAGCAAACAAGTAGTTCACTATGCTATGGTTGTGCCAAATACAGTGACAGATTAATATTATATCATTGCATGAAATGAGGTGCTATTTATAAAAAAAGCTGACTGCTATGCAGGAAACCAGTGCTGAGAAATTCCCGCTGGCAGGACTCCTCTCTCATCTTCATTCTTTTCCTGACAACAGACCAAATTTGCTTGCGTGTAGAGTATGAGGATGGCAAGTTTCCTGATAAAGGAGTAAAAAAAATTGGAATGGGAATTATGCTGACCATCTCTTTTCTTTCCATGCCCACACATGCAAGAGTCTTCAGATATCTCTGGTTCCACACATGCAAGAGTCCTCAAACCTCTGTGGTTCCAAAATGCAAGAGGTTTTTTGTTCCCTTTTTTCCCCCCAAAAAATGTATTTACAGAAACAGCAACCCATTAAATCTCCAATAAGCTGAATAGAGTTTTTGCCAGCCATGTTGGTGATTAGGATTAGTCCTTCAGGAGCTTGTAGCTGGGAAAGAAGGAAATGCTGAGTGGAGGTGGCTGAAGACACAGGGTCAAACACAATCCTGAGTGAACACAGAGGCTACACACACATCAACTGAGATTGATCCAAGTGATGTGAACTGCATTTCTGAGTGGGACAATAATCCTCTGTGTTTATATTTACGTCATGGCTTGGAGGAAATATGCAATTTTGAAGCGAATGCCATGATTCTCTCCATTTACTGATTCCATCCACAGAAATAGTTCTGCTGCATGCAATCAGAGTATTTCTGGAGAGGCCTAGAAGTTCATCTAGAAAAGTTCTTCAAAACTGAGTTGGGAGCTT